CCTTTTAAATCTCTGGGTATGATGTTATCAGTGAGCTTAAGTTGTAAGCCTGCCAAACTCAAGATATCTTGACGAGAACATGTGATGTGATTTGTGGAAAAGAAATACGATTCCATGAAATACAGTACAGATCCATCCTCTTACACATTCTCTGCTTGTTGGTAAATTTGGCAATGCACCTCTTTTGGTCCAAGTCCAAATTGGTCATAATTTTTCTTCAATTAACTTTTAATACTATAGGAAGGATACAAGAAATTTATCTATGATGAATATGTTCTGATAAACAACAGTATATTGTATAAATAAACAGGTGTTCTAGAGTCCTTTTGAGGGTTGTATTCTACCTTCTTGCTTGTTTTTTTAGCAGAAAAGTATAAAATCGTATTTACCCCTTCCACTTCTGCTATCAAACATTGTGCATTCCTACTTAATGAATACAAAAAATGTTGTTCCTTTGTGATTGCTAAATTGCACACTTCCATTCCATGTTCCAAATACAATGTACATGTAGGTTTGTGCTTGATAGTTTATATTGCACAATGAAAGATGATGACTCATTCAATCCCTAACAAGAAAGAACAAACTCTGGGTGGACATGGCATGCTGCATGTTCATACTCCTGTGTTGGGCCAAACTCATGTCTGCACCCAGCCTTTACGGGTATCACTTGTTTCTATGGCAACACTTTTAATCAGGAAATGCAGTGGGGGTTATGATCAGGGAAAGGCGGAAGTTGTACAGTTTAGTCCTGTTGGTTGACCTTGTATTATTGAGGACAAAAAAAGGGAAGGGAAGAAAAGAATTGAAAAGGATTGATTTGCTTGAATCTGTCAAACTTTTTAATATTAAGAGCACAATGAGAAACGAGTACAATGACCTAGTTGCCTATTACTAAGAAATGCTTCCATAACCTTAAAGAATAATCAAATAACTCTGTAATTGTATGAATGAGATTGGATAAATTTGATACAACTGATCTTCATAACTAAAACAAGTAGGAGGAGGGAATGAAAGGCAAATTCAGAACATACTGTATATTATAGCTTTTGCTTGATGATTATTTACTGTAAAACCAATACTTTGATGACCTAAAACTCTTTGAATGGTTCTTATTTTTGCTCTGGACAAGAACTTTTGTGTATTCAATTATTTTGCTGCAAACTTTAATACACAAACCTCAAACAGCTGTGAAATTGATTAGAATTTGTGGTTTAACAGTTGAACATCGTTACATCAGCTCATATCCTTAATTCAGTAAACCAGCAACGACAATATTAGGCCAATTTACACAGCCAAAACACCATTTTAAAAAGTCATTTATTTTTCGGACTATCATTTACACTACCCCCAAAATCCATTTAAAAAGTTGGTGTTTGATCGTTCTGATTTTTGGGTAAGAAGTGTTCACGCGTGACTTCTCACTGCTGTGCAAATGATGGCATGGAAGTGAGAAGAGTCATGTGACCAAAACTGGAATCGTACTTATGTTTCAAGAGCGGTCATGTACACTGAAAAAATCGGTGAAGTTGCATCGGTTTTTCGTCATGTACGCTATGCAACTAATGGAATGTGAGAAAAAATTGATGATTTTTACATGCAGTGTAAATTGAGCTAATGTGAAAATATTTGACATCAGTGCAATGACATGATCAGATTTTCAGTAATATGTGCTTGTTGTGTGTACACTAAAATGTGTGAAAATTGAGGAAATATATTCTCTTCCTGAACCATTTCCTCTCTTGAATTGGGACTCAGGGGGAATCCCTTAATATACAATTATGCTGGTTGTGTACATGCACTCACACTAGCCAAATTCTCAGAATTTTACAATATTCAGTTCATCAAATATTTATTTAGGGTAGATTATAACCAGTGTGATCAGTCATGCCAAAAACACTTGGCGAGTCAAACCATTTCATTTGAAAATGAGACGGAATGTATTTTAGAATTTATACAAAACAAGAAAATACATAACATGTATTATGAAAAACTTGGTGATTTAAGATGGCACCATTAGGTTATTATTAGTGAATTTTCTCCTTCCCCTTATACTGGAACCACCAAGTGTCCATACGGATTGGGAAATTGTATTAAAATGAATGAATAATCCTGTCTGAAACAAAATATGGAGTAACCATTTGTAAAATGTGTTGTCTTCCATTTTGGGTAGATTATGAATCATGAAGGTTTCAATGTCTTATCATCTTATGATTATTTTACAATTTTACATTATCAGTAGCATGTTTTTTTTTTTTTTTTTTTTTTTGGGGGGGGGGGGTTTGGTAGTTTTTATTCAATTTTGTTGTTGTCTCTGTTTATGAAAAATTTGTACAGGAACATGGTGTACTTGTGTTTGGCATCATGAAGGTGTGGTCCTTCCTCACTCATTCCAGTAAAAACTATTCACTGTAGCAAACATCTTATTTCAAAAAGGCTAGGCACAGACTTTTACAGAGAGCCACAAGATAGCGAGCGAGTGGGAGGTGGAATAATTGTGCCAATATTGCACTCTTCTTTGCAGAAAGAGTGACAAATGCAATTTCCATATTTCCATCATCACTAATTCATGCTAATGGGTCTATCAGGTATCATTTAGAATGGAGCAAGTGAAATTAAGCCTGCTTCTCATTTACGCCCAAATTAATAGATTTTGTGCTCGTGTGCTGAAGATGGAAAAGATCATGCCTGCCTCAGTGTTAAAGAAAGCTGTGCATACATACATGTATGTGCACACAATTCATAGATAAATGATACTGCATGATAAGTATGATTTACATGGAGCTGTATGTTGTTCATTGCACGAACGCATCTCGGCATTGTTGTACTACTGCACATAAACTGTTGGTACATATGCACAGTAATGATTGTTTTCATTAAGTACTGTTCGTGTGCACTGTGCAACATATTGGCTTTATTCCAGTAAAATTACAGGAAAAAACTTCTGCTTGTCATAATTTTATAATTCTATTGAATCACTCTATGTTTTTTTTAATTTTTAGGGTTTGGGGAAGAATACGTGATTGATTAGAGAGTATTTACACATTTAGAATGTTCTAGCGATGCCAATGTCTGATGAGAGCATATCGAGGCTGCTTGGTCGGTCGAGGGTAGATCATGTTTGCATACTGGCAGCAATCAATGTGGGGGCATGGGTTATGCATGGCTAGACTCGTTCGTCTTAGTGGGTGAAACTGGGACAGGTTTAATTGGACAGTGGGATGAATCGAGGCTCGTTTATGCCGACTGCATCATGAATTTAAGACCAGTATTGCTGCCTGAATACCAAATTTATGATACCTGGATGGCATGTTTGTCAGTCAGTGGTGATATATACCAGAGGAACGATTAAGCATAATCTCATTCTGTACAATCTGCACAATGTCAAGGCACACTATTATCTACCAGGGGTATGTGTAAAAAGTCATTCTACTTCTACTTCGTAGTAATACTCATCAACGCCTGTTAATCTAGATGATATAATATAATTTAGAGCTGTACCTGTAGCCCTGCAGTACATGGTCATGTAGTTTAGGCTTGTTGCTTCCTAGAGCGAAAAAGGAATTTGTGTACGCTATAACCTGTTATTTTATGCAAATTTTGCATTCTGTTGTACGTGTACATGTGGGTTCATGATTTTAACAAGTGAAAATGAGCCCATAATGCACTTACCAGCTTGTATTGTTACAGTAGTTACCCCGAAAATAACAACCCACAATATCCTTCTGTGTCTGTCTGTGTCATCTGTGAAAATATTTATGTAATATCGAATGGCCTTCAGTGGGATGCAAGGGTATCCCCCACGGCATGATGAATGAAATACTCTCACAGGGAGTGCGATACATCCCACAAAGGAACAACCATTCATTATTATTATTATTAATTATATGAAACCCAGTACATCAATTTGCACCTTTACATCTGTTTTCGTAATAACTTGCACATTAAACCACAGAGAGAAAATATATTTTGTCCTTTCCCCAGCACTTTGTAATGTTTGCATGTGTACGTATATGCATTGTTGTAGCTTTTACGTTTATAAATGCTTATTCCCCTTTTTTATGCGTTAGCGCACCCCAAATATTTTTGCACAAGACCCTCTACTTCTGCTGTTACAGCGTGTCAGAGTTTATTGGCAGTTTAGTGACTATAAAGGGATGCTATGTACATGTACACTTAAAGGGACTTTTTAACATTGTTCAGATTAGAGGGAATGGTGCTAAGGTAGTGACTTCAATGCTAAATGTACAATTAAAGATAATATGAAAGTTTGAGTGGAAACGGACCGTTATTAATGATAAAAAATGGGAAAAACTGATCTGATCGACTCCTTAATTATCCCAACTATATTATTACAATTCAATTACATTCTAGGTGAATGTAAGTCATCACTAAGCAATGACTTGGCTCTATAATATCATTCCAGACATTTAAATGTGGAAAGATTTGTTAAGGCCTGTGTTATGTCTTATTTTCAAGGAAAAACGGTTGGGGAAATTTGAAAATGGTTGGGAGAATTTACTGTTAATCACTGTTAGAGGGTGTTGCACAGTGACACCTTTGGAGAAAACCATTAATATCTTTGTGGTTTGAAAAAAAATTCAGGATTTTTTGCTTGTTAGAGGGTTAGTACAGCTGAATTACTTACTTACTTACTTAAATGCTCAGGACGGAGTGTCCCCTTGCGCTCCTACGGGTGGTCTGCCTCCATTCATTTCTGTCCTGGGCTTGGTGTTGGGCAGCCTCCAGGCTTAATCCAGAGTCTTGGCGGATTTGGTCTTTCCACCTCAGGGGAGGACGTCCTGGTGGTCGTGGCACAGTAAAGTGAAAAAGCTGAAGGAATTTAAAATTAACATTTCATACAAAAATTATGCAATTTTTCATCAACCTTACAACAATGTTACAAATTCATTTTAAGAGTACAGATTAGTGTAGATTGCAAAAGTTTACAAAATGTTATTATATATTTTTCAAAGTCGGTCACCATTTTCTCTTTGCTGCAGGTAAATTCCTCCACCTCATCTTGGACAGTAGAATGACAATCTTCCGAAGAGAAGATCAGTAATGGTTCTATAGCTATCAACTCAAACCAAAATCACATGACACATCATTAGGCAGCCATCACAAGTCGCAGTTGACATATTCAAAGGCTGAATCAGGTTTGTACAGCTTCCAGAATTTGTTTTTAAACACATTTTTTACCACAGCCAAGGAAATCTACCATGGGAAGGGCCCTTTTATTTCTTTCCTTGGAAGGATTACTTCAGAAATGACTCCCTTCAGAAATGATGCGGCAAAACCGCTGCGTTTAAAAAAATGATGTCGTAAAGAGTAATATGCTTGGTATTTCTGTATCACTATCTTATAGCACAGAGCTTTAAAGTGAATATGCTCAAGTCCTTTGTTGTGCGCAGTTGTCATTCATTAAAATATTTTTTTATTTTGTTTATTGCAATTCTTTTTGCGGCAGTTTACTCTATCATTTCTGAACGAGCCTTTATTCTCACGGGAGGGCACTATTCTTACTTTATAAAAAAATAGAGGCATTAGCCCCACCCTTCCACATTTGCCACTGCTGCTTATTACATTTTTTTTTAAACAGATGTGAAATGTAACTTTGCTGGCAAAGTTTAAGCAAATTAAATAAAAAAAAAGAGAGCTATTCCTGAATTTGAATTATCTATATTTTATGCTGAATACAGAAAATGGGGCCCCACCTGCTAATTCTTGCATGGACAAGCCTTTCCACGTTGCATTGTCGTCTTGCCAGTTCTTGGCTTCTCAGAAAACAATGATACTCCTTTCTGTTCCTCTCTTGGCATTGGCCCAATATGGAAATAGATTTGACTGGATCTAGCTTAGAATTTGATGATTCAAAATGCTGCTTTTCCAGAGTGCATTGATATATAGAAGAAGATGACTGTATTTATTTATTTCCACAAGGTTACAAAGTGATAGAGTCTTGATTTACTAAATTGTGAGAACAAATCCAGTAGAAGAAAAACAATTGTGCAGCCAAACCTCTTTATTTCGAATGATTTTACTGCATTGTACAATGCTTTTACATAAATATGAGTCATGTTTGAATTTGATAGTATTGATAGTTAATAACCCCAATAGGTATAACTGGTATTGTTCTTATATTTGCACACCATCATGTTGTGTGAATGGGCCCAGTGTTGGATTGTATGTTGAATAGTGCTCATCCAAGATTATTTTGCAGAACTTGGTGCAATTGTGAAGTATTTAAAATAATTTGATTAATATAATGTGTTGACAAAATTATGATGGGTTGAACAGTATAATGAATGTTGTGTATCCCCGATCATCCTTAAAGAGATTGAAAAAAGCTAGAAACCAGTCTTGAAGAAAACTTTAAATTCTTAAGCCAGAACAAATTGCAAAATATTTGCACAATGTTAGTGACAACTGAGTTTGGGGTAAGCAATTTTAAGCTTCTCTCAACCAAATCCACTCTTTGATTGTGTGAGATGCACAACCAAACACACGAGCATGCATGCACTGTATTATACTGTATTCTAAGAAAACTGAAATATATTCTTCAACAAAAGTATTTAGACCAAGATCTAAAGTTTTCCATAAAAACAGACTACATGGGGAATTCTATCGTGACATGAAGTTAATCTTAAAGGTACTATGTCCCATTTGCAGGCCACCAAAATGAAAAGGTTAAATTCTAACGGCATTTGAAAGATAATACTAATTTAGAACTTCACTCATAACAAAAGGGTTTTTGTGGGAATATAACGACCGTTGTTGAATCAGGTGCGGTATTCTTTCATTGTGCTCTCCACTAAATTTGTGTGTGAAGTTTCATATTCTTCATAGAAAATATTGATATAATAGTGAAAGGTCTTGAGTGCAATACAAGGGTATATATACCATGAGCTGATGAGCATATTAATGAGTTGGTACGATGAATGAAATATTCTCAAATGGAGTGCCATATATACCCTTATATCCCATGAAAGAAAAGCCATTCTATATTTATTATCATTAATTGTATGAAACCTAGTACTTCAATTTTGACTAATACATTTTTTTGGTTTTGTATTAACTTGCTCATTAAACACATAGAGAAAAACATGTTCTGTCCTTACCCAAGCATTTTGCAAGGGTCGCGAGCATACATCCATTAGCTTGGCCTTTGCATATTCATATCCGTCATCAAGACACTTTCAGAAACCATGAAATATTGTTTTCAATTGCACAGTGATCCAGATACTTTTGTGCAAAGTGTGAGATATATTGATTTTTCGTGTCTAGTGTAAATCCCTTCGTAGATATAATGATTATGGCACATTCAACGAAATTTATTCCTACATCAACAACCAAGAAAAAGGAAATTTAAGAGAATTTTATTTCTGTACAGAACAAAATTGCAAGAGGACCTCACATGGTAGGTCACAGAGTTGCCAATTTGTGTGATTGCAACTTTTAAAAATATATAACTTCATTATGTTTGATTCAATTTTGCTCAAACTGTCACTGATCTTTGCTCTCTGGTTGTATTGGAACCAACTGATACTTTACTGCCGTTACTCTTTTGAAAACTAGGAGTTCTTGTTCGTGAGCATGAGCAAATTTTACAATGATTACAATGCACTGCCTACAGTCCATATCATGGCAATGAAACATCTCTGGGGAAGTAATGCGTGTCAGGAGGGATGCTTGAGACCTACATGTAAGCATCTCTTTAGAGTTACAATGCAGACATTTATAAGGAAGGAACGCTCAATCACCCAAACATGTAAAATGTTTTGTAGGCTTGCAGTAGATTTGTCTTAGTATTCTTCACCAGTAGAGGGAGTCCTCAAAATATCAGTTTTGAACAGTCAGAGCACAACATTCTTTGAAGTTTGAAAAATCAGAAGTTGTACTTTCAATGATTTGAGATCAGCGCATGTGCATCTCAGCTATAAATCTACATGTATTTCAATTTTATGCGTTATGTACATGTACTTATCCTGTTAATAGCCTACCTACTGGCTCGTGCCCCCCCCCCCCTTTTTGAAACCCAAGTGCTATATCTCGAGTACACAACTACAAGAGTTTCATTCTTTTTTCAGGGAATAACCCCCTTTTAATGCTTGCCAGAAAATATTAGGAATATTCTCCCCCCCCCCTCCCTCCCTCCACAAAATCCTTGATCTGCCCCTTTGCCTAGATGTGCTGAATATGGATATAAAATGAATAATTTTTTCATCATTTAAACAAAATAAATGTAAGATTCCTTACATGTTCATTCTATTTCTTGATTTTTTTGTGTACATCTATCTATGTATCATTTACATGCATGAACAGCATCAAGTCTTCACTTACAAAGTATAGAACTGGCAAGAAGTGCAAAGCCTACTCCTCCTGTACATACATGCACAGTATGTGACAGATTTGTAATATAGGGCAAAGTTTAGCTCCTAATTCCTATGCATGGTTGGAACAAAATGTTCGGAGCGACTAGATTTAAAGGTCAGCATAGCCCCAGAGTCTGACAGAACAAATAGTAAGGCTAATATCTCGCATCTTGCGGGCGAATTTTCCTCTCTGCCGGCGGAGGGGAGGACGACATCGAGCGAAGCATGCTCACCAAAATGTCACCAAAATGTCAGGGAATGTTGGCATGCTGGTAGAATGTAAACTTGCGTCGTTGAAGAAGATGAGAAGCCATGGGGGTTGTGTGGTGTTGCAAATCAGACAGGTCCTCCTCTTCTTGTTTAACTATAATGATAAGCACTTTGGAAATGAACCATGCCGGATAATGACAGGTGCATGAATATTTTTTTGAAAGAAAGAATGCTTCATGTCTTGAATATATTATTCATGCACATGATCATTAGTGGGTAAAAACATGAAACACAAATCCTGTATGTTAAGCACTTGCTTTGATTTCCTCATTGATAATAATGTGTAGGTATTGTAGAAAGGAACACTTTTAGTGCAATTTCATCGGATATAAATAGGTGATGAAAATTTGTCATGGTTTCTCAAAAATGGCAGAGATTGGTCCCTGTTTTAGTTTGGTGTTCATATACATGTGCGCGTGTTTTACTTGTGTAATTTTTTTACACAAATATTGAAAATACATGTATATGAACATGTTGCTCAAATTGGCAAGTTTTGTGTCATAGTATACTTGGTGTGTCTGACATTATTATGAAATGTCACTCATTTATGATCCACATCTTAGTCAGACCCAAGCTGTGGCAGATTCATTGAATTAGGTTCAGAACAAAGCCATAAGATTTTCATTAAAAAACGAAAATTGGCTCTTGATCTTACAGTACACAATTTCATGTTCATCGGTGATCGCTTGCTAATATCTGAAATTTGGTATAAATCATGCTCATCTGCAATATAGATTTGATATTTATATTTGTTATTTATATTTTATATTTCTACATTGCTGCATATATGTACATGCAATTGCACTATCAAGCTTCCACAGCCCAGCTCTGTAGATGTCTCGTACATGACCCATTGGCCAGCGACATGACTACACTTTGAAGACAGATCTCTTTCTAGCTTTGTCATAGATACATGTAGTCTCACGAAGAAACGCAACCTTTGCCTACCTACATGCACCTATAGTATGATATCTTCACACGTATATGATCAAGTGCATGGTAAGGAACATCATACCTTCGGTTTAATAGGCAGTTGTCTATCTTTCACCAAATAGCATTGTGAGTTATGAATCATAGATCAATTAACCTTTAGATCATGGTATGTTTAGATCTTATTTTTGCTCAGATTCATGAAGCCTGTCTGTGACATTAGTCTACTTTTCACAATACCAAGTGAATATGAGAAGAAAAGAACAGTGCTGTACCATTTACACCTGTTCAGCTGGTTCGCTACAGGTTACCGATTCATGAGACGCAACTCAAAGTTACGCTCAGTCCCTCTTTCTATTTATAGTACTCCCACATTTGATGGATTCCTCTTGTAAAATACTTATAAGCTCATTCTGTTTTCCCTTGTCTGATAGAATAAACAATGTAATCTGTAGAAAAACTGATCTTAAATGGTAGCAAAATGAAAAAGCATTAAAAAAAATGCATTAAATCAATAATTCTATAGATCATTTGAACGGCTGTCTGAATTAGAAATGTAGATGGAATACCAAAATCTAAACTTA